AACCCGCAGTTTGATTTCTCACTTTTCTCCTCCCCTCTCTGCTGAACCTTAAAAGGACCACTTATTCACTTTCCTTATATTTCCTAGCACCTGTGGCGGGCCTGATCCTAAAGCAGTGTTCAATAAATACTTTTTGGTAGGTTGATAGTTGTTTTGACCTGTTAAGAGTTATATTAATTCTATAAGTCTTCAAAGAAGATGTCTATTAATTCCCAGGAGTTTCTTCATAACAGAGGAAGTATAAGAAAGGTCAATAAATGATACTTTTTTCTTCTCTTCAGAGTGGAATCACTGATCCATTCAATCTATGTCTTAAATTGTTTTAAAGGTCAAATCTTTTTTTTTTTTTTAATTGCAAAAGTTGACCGACTGGGGGGGTCACCAGTTCAATTCCCAGTCAGGGCACATGTCCAGGTTGTGGGCTCCATCCCCAGTAATCCCCAGTAGGGGGTGTGCGGGAGGCAGCCGATGGATGTTCCTCACATCAATGTTTCTATCTCTCTTTCCTTTTTCCTTTCTCTCTCTCTAAAAAATTAGTAAAGACATATAAAAATTAAAGCCCAGCCAGCGTAGCTCAGTGGTTGAGCAACAACCTATGAACCAGGAGGTCACAGTTTGATTCCCCGGCAGGGCACATGACCAGGTTGTGGCTTGATCCACAGTGGGGGATGTGCAGGAGGCAGCCAATCGATGATTTTTATCATTGATGTTTCTATCTCTCCCTCTCCCTTCTCTGGAATCAATAAAAAAAATATTTTAAAAATAGAAATTTAAAAAAATATTGCAGAAGTGTTCACCTCTCAAAGTAGAAGACATTCATAAAGAAATAATAAGAGTGCTAATTTTCCTAACATTGGACAAGTTTAGTGAAATGTAATTTGAAAGGCTTTAATGGTCATTTAAACTTGAACTGCTAATTATTTTCTTAAGAAAACATGAAAATAAAGGAAAGAAAACCATAAATGAGAGGTCTCTATAGGCTATCAATGTTGCTCACACTCGACAAACTACATGAGTCAACATTTAACAGTTCTGCAAATGCTATTCTGGGAAATGGATGTGTTAAAGCCACTAAAAGAACTTAAAATTTAGCAAGTTTCAGATTAGCATTTGTAAATTTAATGATGTATAAAAGCGCTTGCAGAATTCTGGGACAACAAACATGCTGTTTTTTTCTACCTAGTTATGCTGCTGGTAGTTTAGACTCTATGCCCCAAGACCGGCCTTCTGGCTAACATTTTGGGCTCAATAAAACCTTACTTTAAAAATGACTTCAATAGCTAAGACCTGGAAACAGCCCAAGAGCCCATCAGTAGATGAGTGTATTAAAAAGCTATGGTACATTTACACCATGGAATACTATGCAGCTGTAAAAAAGAAGGATCTCTTACCCTTGAGACAACATGGAGACACCTGGAGAGTATTATGTTAAGGGAAATAAGCCAGTCAGAGAAAGACAAGTGTCACATGATCTCACTCATATGTGGAACCTGAAGAACAAAATAAACTGATGAACAAAATAGATGCAGAGACATAAAAGCCTGGAACAGACTGTTAAATCTCAATAATTATTACAAAGTAGTGATTCTAAGTTTTTATGGGATTTTAAACTCCTTGGGATGCACTGGGAACAGAAATCTGTCCTTGGGAGAAATACACACATAAAGTTGAACATGGTATTTTTTTTTTAAATTAAATTTTAGAGAGAGAGGAAAAGAAAGAGAAAGAGAGAAAAACATCAATTTGTTGTTCTACTTATTTATGCATTCAAGGGTTGACTCATGTATGTGCCCTGTAATTAGCTAGTTTTTAATCATAGGAAAGGAGCAGAGGGGGAAGTAGACATTATAGACATGTCATTTGGGTGGCTTCACCAGGAAGTTGCAACTTTGCATTCCCCAGGGAACCACTGGCCTGTTCCCTGCAGGTCACTAGGGGAAGGAGCCCAACAAAGGGGAGACAGACACATGCACAGTGAAGGTGGGGTCACGGGGAAGGTACTTGCCTGTCAATCTAGCCAAGGGAACCATGTGTTGACCAGAAAGGGTGGAGCCAATGCAAGCCCGTGAAAATTTAGGGATACATAATTCCCTAAACAGAAGAACTCTCTCTTGGCTCTTGTTTTTGCTCTTGGCTCTCTTGCATTCGCCCATATGGCCCATGTGGGCCCATACACAAGGGACTAATGGACTGCAGCAGGAAGCAAGCTAAGCTAGCCTGATGCTGGACTGGACTGGGCTCCAGCATGGAATGGAAACTCTGAACACTGGCTCTGCTTTTAGCTCTGCTGAAGCCCCAGCTGCACTTCCTCTATGACTGGACTAAGGGAAATGGACCTTTGAAACTCAGGGGTTTGGTTCCACAGAAATAAGACTTTCTCCAATAGCTCATCCTCCTGAGGGTCAGAAAATTCTTTTTCTTCTGATATCACAAGAAATCCACCCCCAAGAGGAACAGGTGGGGACGAGGTCTTCTCCCTGCTGGTAACCATGGGATCGAACCCGCAACCTTGGCATATCGAGACGATGCTCTAACCAATTGAACTACCTGACCAGGAATTGAACATGGTATTTTGCACAAAATGTTTAGAGGGATTCATAGTCTCAAGGTTAAAAACCAGGATTTTAATGTTCTTCTCTAACCTGGAGGAACACTGCCAACAATTCATATATGAATAGACTGAATGACTAGGGTACGAACACAACCTAAATAGTTGAGATGTTTGAATGTATAGGTTACTTTGTGTGAAGAAACAAACAGAAAAATGTATGTTTTTCTACGGACCTAGTCATCAGCAATTATTACATTTGTAGGTATTGGTAATTAATGCTTCTTCCTCTCGAGGAAATAAAAAAGATTAACTTAAAAATTTTGCTTTTTGTCTTGACTGAAATGAAAAGAAATTGGGTTACATACTAGAATTTGAAAAGAATCCTTGAGGAAAAAAATTCCTGCCTAATTTCCAGGCCCTTTACTGGTTATCTATATATATAAAGGGCTAATATGCAAAGTGTCCCCTCAGGTGTTCGACCAGGAGATTGGGAGTTCAATCGCTCGCTATGACCTGTGCTAACTACCAGGGGGCGGCATGGAATGAAGGAAGGCCCTGGCAGGCAGCCAGCAAAGGAAGGCCCTGGCTGGCAGCTGGAAGACCCCGATTGGCCCTGATAGCTGGCCAGGCCTAGGAACCCTACCTGTGCACGAATTTCGTGCACTAGGCCTCTAGTTTTAATATGAAAAGAAGGAGAAGTTAAGAGAATACTTACACCCATGACCACAGGAGTAAATAAAAAACACTGGTAAGGAGGCAAAAGGTCCTACTAAAATTTAAATCTATGCAATACCCGGAAGACCCCGATTGGCCCTGATAGCTGGTCAGGCCTAGGAACCCTACCTGTGCACAAATTTCGTGCACTAGGCCTCTAGTTTTAATATGAAAAGAAGGAGAAGTTAAGAGAATACTTACACCCATGACCACAGGAGTAAATAAAAAACACTGGTAAGGAGGCAAAAGGTCCTACTAAAATTTAAATCTATGCAATACCTGTCTCTTGTTAAATTTAAATCTATGCAGTACCTGTTGCAGGAGCAAAAAGCTCAAGCAACTTAAAATCTAAACATGAAGTATTGTGGTAGGCATTTAGAGTCCAATAGAGTTTCCTCTCATTTCTTACTGGCCTCCTACTTTTTATAACCAAAGAAATGTGGCCCTGACAGAGTTATTTCTCTAACCAGTGGTGTTTATTTCCTCTCAGTCTTTAAAATTATGCATCCTTGGTAACAATATCACTGTTTCCTCTTCTATAGTGCCATATGTGCTGAAAAATCCATCTAATTTTTTTCCATCTGATTTGCATCAATTAAAAACATCAATATAAAAAAGCATTTACACTCTAAAAAAATGGGACGAGGTGGAATTTCCTCCCTCTTATGTTTTTAGTTTCCCCATTTTCTGCTGGCAGATCTTCTTTAGGTTCCTGGTCAGCCACTTGGATCTGTTTTTCCTTTGCTCCTCTTTGCACTTTTTTTTGTCTGTGGATTTATCCTTTTTTTTCAGCCTTTAAAAACAATTTAAAAAGAAAATTGATTTCAGCCCAGCCGGGTGTAGCTCGGCGGTAGAGCGTCGACCTAGGAACCAGGAGGTCACTGGTTTGATTCCTGGTCAGGGCATATGCCCAGGTTGGGGGCTCGGTCCCCAGTGGGGGTCGTGCAGGAGGCATCCAATCAATGATTCTCTCTCAGCATTGATGTTTCTATCTCTTTCTCCCTCTCCCTTCCTCTCTGAAATCAATAAAAATATATTTAAAAAAAGAGAAAAAAGAAAATTGATTTCAGAGAGGAAGGTATAAGGAGAGAGAGAGAAACAATGATGAGAATCACTGATGGACTGCCTCCTACACGCCCCACACGGGTATTGGAGACCACAACCTGGGCATGTGCCCTGACGGGAATCGAACCAGAACCTTCTGGTTCATAGGTCGAAGCTCAACCACTGAGCCACACGGGCCGGGCTGTAAATCTTATTTAATCTTCAAAATAGTGTAGCCAGGGAGATGTCGTGGATGGGAAACCTGCTCCCTGAGGGTGCAAAGTTTTCAGGTCTCTTGGAGATCCCGTCGCCATCCATTCATATCACGGGTAGAACGAGAGCTGCGTTTCTTGCTCCAAAGCTTGAGCTTATTTCCATGCACTCGATTACCCTTGGAGAAGGCAATTTTAAGGGATGGTAGCGTGTGGGGGCCCTTGGTTAAGAAAGGGGTTAAACTACTGGTTAACCAGCATTGAATAACAATACTCCACGTTTCCGAAAAACCATTGCCTTTATCTGAATGGTCAGGAGAAAGGATAGATGCAGTGAAGCGCTCCAGGGCTGGGCAGGGACCTAAGAGGGGGCAGGTCAGAAGTGGAAGGAAGCCCTCGGGCCCGGGCCCAGCCCCGC